TATTTATATATCTGAGGGGTGGGTGTCAAGAGGAAAATCTCTCTTCAGTGGTGCCCAGCAATAGAACAGGAAATAATGGGTTTAGGTTAGAACATAGGAAGTTCCACCTCAACATGAGGAGAAACTTCTTCACTGTGAGGGTGACGGACACTGGCACAGGCTGCCCAGAGAGGTTGTGGAGTCTCCTCTCTGCAGACTCAAAACCCATCTGGATGTGTTCCTGTGTGGCTGCCCTAGGGGATCCTGCACTGGCAGGGGGTTGGACTAGATGATCTCTAGAGGCCCCTTCCAACCTCTGACATTCTATGATTCTATGGTAACAAAGCTGGAAATTTCGTTAGAGGTAAAAATGCCTGGTGACAAGGTAGATACTCTTTGGCAGGAAAGGAGAAAGCTATACCAAGGTGTTCGTATCTTGGAATTCACTTCGGTCTCTCAGGTAGAACTAGTTCCTGCTGGATCATGGGTGGGAGGTATTCAAGGAGTCATGAAGGTGGAAGGAGTACTTTCTTTCTGTGCTGGTAGTAATCAAGAAACTTTTCAGCTGTTAGAAGGCCGTTGGAAATGTTTTATTTTTGGTAAATAAAATTGAGGGTCTTGATTCTTTCTTTTGTAAAGCAATATGAAAATTTTAATATAAAAATTAGACTTTCTGGCCTTGCTAGCTTCATGTTTCGTTGAACATTTTAGTTGATTTAGTTGACCATCTAGTTGATCAACTGACGAATAGATGTAAATTTAATTAAGTGCAGTACTTCTCACAGCCTAAACTATATAGTGCTTTTGTATATGTCAAAAGATGATTTAAAACACCTAGCCTCCTCTTACTGTAAGCTGGATCAATTATTCTGGGAAGCTGCCTGCATGCATTTTTTTAATCTTCTTTTTTTTTTTTCCAAAATAAGAAAAGATTAATAGGTACTTGAGCTTAAAGACCAAAATGTGCCATTGTGTGATGTCACTGTTGTGATGGAGATGAAGTGAGGTGGTTTGGATTCTAGACTGAGCTCCAGCACTGTCCTTCCAGCAGACCTCAACCGGGCGCTGCTGGATGCTGGACCAGGCTTCTGGGTTGGAGCCAGTGCTCAGCTCCATCCTTTCCGCTCCTTTACCTGCTGCCCATGTTGAGGATAAAAGTGAGATGCTCGTTTTTGGCTGTTCTGAAATTTCGCACTTTTCTTTTCTTGCCTCTGTAGCAGTGGGGGTGGGAATTGTGTGTTTCTGCTGCATGCAAGGGCTTCTCCTTGGCTGGTTTGAAGGGGTTCCCTGCTCTGTTGTGAAATTGTTGGTCCTCTGTCGCCTTCATAGGGATCCTCCTTGCCTGGTTACAGGAGTTGTTTCAACCCGAACCTCCCTGCAGAGGATTTCAAGTAAGGAATGAACAGGCTGCCCAGGGAAGTGGTGGAGTCACTGTGGAATCAGAGAATGATCTGGGTTGGAAGGGACCTCAAAGATCATCTAGTTCCAATCCTCCTGTCATGGCAGGGACATCTCCCACTAGGTCAGGATGCTCAGTGCTCCATCCAGCCTGGAGACGTTCAAAAGGAGTGTAGACGTGGCACTTCAGGATATAGTTTAGTGGCTATGGTAATGTTGGGTTGACGGTTGGACTAGATGATCTTAGAGGTCTTTTCCAACCTTAATGATTCCATGATTCCTGTGTTGCTCTTATTTCCCATTGGAAATGACAAAACTTCAAGAAACCCCAGAACTTCTAGAAGCTGCAGCCACAGGGAGCAGCTCTGCATCATCCGTGCAGGCAGATGAACATACCCAAGCTCGTTGCACTGCTGTGTGTTGTGAACACGTGGTGTCTGGCGTTGGAATTGCTCTGTGCATTCGACCCCGAGTGGTTCTGCACCCGCAGACACGTTTGGTGTGTTGTGGTGGCTTCAAGCCAGCTCTCAGGCACTGCACTTCAGTCTCCCTTCTACTAAAGTTAACTTTTATGATATTTACTTATTAATGTATTTAGTTGTTGAGCATTTTAATGCCTAGAATGTGTTATTACTTTGTGTGACATCTTACCCTGAGACATTTTGTTGTAGGTTACAAATCATGTGATTAACACTACGGAAAAAGTAAGACTTGTGACACACCTGATGCTAGAATAAAGTTTAACTACGTTTGTGGTAGTAGTTATTTTGGAAAGGATTGTCTCAATATATCTGATGCTATCTGTAGTAGTCAAGACACAGCTTACTTGTGGGTTGATGTCTGTTTATCCATCAGAATATTAATGCTGGGCAGTAAGGACAGCAGGAAGGCCCATCATGAGAATTATTTCTAACTTCCAGTTTTAAGGGTCGGGTGTGTTACAGAAGCAAATATTGAATCTAGTTGAAGCAGATGGCAACCTGTAGTTAGCTCGCTCTCTTTCAAAAGGAGAAATACAAGAAATAAGTCACGCAGAATTTGATGCGTTCCAGTTGAATGCTAATTGTGACAGTTGTCTGTGGCTTTGTAAGGGGGGGAGTTGGTTAGCCATAAATGTCACGGTCAGTGGGGTCAAAGACTTCTCCAGGGTGGCTGTATGTAGCTTACAAACCAGCTATGTCAGAGCAGAGTCTGTTCATTTGAGTAAATCCTTGCGTTTGTGTCCGAGTCTGAGTGGATGAAAAATTGCACCAGAGAGCAAGCCAGAGGCTTAAGTGTTGGAGGCGTGCAGACGTGGCTCCCTGCCTGTCTACCTTGTGGCACAGAAAGGTGTTTCTCCACCCTTTGCTGTGGCCGTGCCTTTTTTTTTTTTTTTGGCAGTAATAGCCCCAAACTTTCTGCATCGATGGGCACAGCAAGTGCTGGGGCAGTGCTGCTCTGTGCTGCTGAATACTGGCTCTCAGCTCACTTTTTCTTCTCTGTTTTGTTTTTCTCTCCTGCGTTTTAGTTTTCTGCTCTCTCTTCCCCCCTCCCCCCAGCTCCTTCTTAATTACATTTGAAAATTTAGCCTCCTTTTTATCCCAAGTTCTTTAATTCATAGTAGTATTTTCTGTGACTTGCTGTCATAGAAACGAGGGCTTTAGGACCTTATGTGCTCTTGTAATTCATTTCACTCCCTCAAGGAAAATACTACTCTTTTTAGACCAACTCTGGCAGACGTGTCTGTCTCACCTATTTTTAAGAACCTCTAACGAAGCAGATTGCGTGACCCCGCTGGGTGATCAGACTAGTGCCTTGCTTTTTTAATCGTGATTCTAAAATCTGACCTGTTGCAGTTTAAGTCAGGTTCCTTCACTGATATGTCTGAAAACCCATCCAGAGCAAACTCTATTGCTGATTCCAAAGCTGTTCTTCAGGTCTCCCTAGTCCATCCTTTGTGTCGTGTTTTTGAACTTAACCTCTTGACCCTCGGGGCATTTGCAAACCAGTTCATTAGGCATTTGCAAATCAGTTAATTTTAATTCTGTCTCATCGAGTGGTAAGTACAGGTAGTATTGCCTCGTTTGCATTGGTCGAAACCTAAATTTGTGGCTGCGCTCTTGCCGTGTTACAGCTGCAGCCTCCCTCGGACAGTCCTCTCCCTGAACGCGTGTGCTGAGTGTGGACCTTCAGTACGAGGGCGGCAAGACTTTGGAACAAATTGCCCAGAGATGTTGTGGCTGCCCCCTCCCTGGAGGTGTTCAAGGCCAGGTTGGATGGAGCCTTGAGTAGCCTGATCTAGTTGAGAGGCGTCCCTGCCCGTGACAGGGAGGTTGGACTAGTCGATCTCTAAGGTCCCTTCCAGCCTAGGCCACTCTGTGATTCTATGATCATGTAGAAAGAGCCCAAACCACGCAGCCCTTGTCCTTACCTCCATCGCTGAACATGGAGCCCCCTCTTCATTTCAGCGTTCAGTTTGGAGACCCTTCTGTGGGATTTCATCTCTTCCTGGGCTGGTCTAAGCTGGCACCTTGAGTTGTCCCTCTGCCTGTCTCGGTGTCTCCTTTGCCGAATTAGGAGGATCCATCCCTCGTCCTGCAGATTTGCCTGTTATTACATGTGGAAGTTGCTTTTTGTCTGTGATTGGGTAAAGTAGTAGTTTTCTCTTATTGCACTGTATTTTTAAAGATCGCTGCTTAAGTACAGCTTTTTAAACTTTTTTCTTCCTCATTGCTTCAGTTTAATTCTATAAAACAATCCATGATTTCGTATGCGAAGGATACCATATGTAAAAAAAAAAATAAAAAAAAAAAATTGCCTTGTAACTTGGATAGCCCCGTAGCAAATAAGTTGGCATTGCACGTTTTCTGACTTGCAGGTACAAGCTTGTGCCCAGGGAGCGTAGCCAGGAGGGGCTGGAAGGCAAAGCTGTGATGACATGTTCAGTCTCCAGGTGGAGGGCCAAGAGGGCAGCTGTGCGGCGCTGAGTTGCATTCCAATGTGCTGATCCGTGGAACAGCGTTGGCATACGCTTTGGAAGCTGCTGCTTGCTCTCATGGCTGTAGGGAAGGGGCTGAGGTGATGGCAGGGATGGAAGGGGTGAGTCTTTGCAGAATATTTTCATATGATCGTGGCCTATTCTGAGCAGGCCGGACAATTTGGAGCCTTGGCATTTCGCTGTGGTGATGGTGCGAACTGTGCTGTCTCTGGTAGCTCAAAAATTAATTACTCCAGAGTGGATTGTTGAGGTTTTTCTTTCCTGAATTACTTAAGATGTAGGGAAGTTATATTTTCTCACTACTTGGGGGCTTAATGGGGTGGAGGCTTTGGAAACAGTTTAGCAATTTCACATTTTATACGCTCTAATGAATTTCCCAGGATTTTGGGAGGGCTGTATCCAACTTTAGTATCGTAATTTCCAGAGTTTTATTTATGCTAAAATAAGTTAGTGTTGGGTTAAGAGGCACAAAGAGCCAACAGGTTACAAATGAACGAATGAAGACAGTTTCTTTTGGCTAAAAAGCATGACTCACAGTTGTGACTTGTGCTGAAGCACGGCAGACCGTGAGTTTCACTGGGACCACAAGCTGTCAAGGGGTTTCCTCTTCCCTTCCCTGTTGTTTCGAACCTGTGTTTGATTTCAGGTGCAGAAAAGAGAGCGCTTGCAAGGACCAGAAACAACTCTGAATCTGCAAGAACTCCCCAGAACTTCGATAGGAAGAGGCAACTCTCAGAATCGCAGGCAGAAACAATGAACAATTCAGACAGCAGAATAAATCCCAGACAACTGGGAACTCCCAGAGGTATTAAAGCAGAGTGCGTACACGCTTCAGGAATAAGCTGTCTTGAAGCACGTGCTGAGCACGATTAAAAGATGGGCTGGGATGAATGCTCCTAACTGTGAAATGAGCTGTAAAAGACTGTCAATTATTTGTCAAACATGATTATTCCAGAGTTTTTGGTGCTCTGAGGTCGGGTGCCAGTATTCCCAGGGAAACTGTTCTTGGAAGTTCAGCTTTGAATACAGAGCCTCTGTGCAGCTGCTGTTGAGATACGCAGACAGGTTTGGTGGGCAAAATAATATTTACAAATTTTTATTTGCAGGAGGATCCTATGTTGCTGTCCCAACATCAGGTGATAGAAAGAATCTAAATAAACCCACTCGAGGGAGGAAGAAGAGTGTATTTGAAGCCTACATGTCAAAATTTTTCTGAAAAGGGGAGAGCTAATTCAGGTGCTTAAAAATACTGTGTCTGTGCTCTTGTGACATGTCTATGGAAATCACAGGCAGTTGTTGGAAATGAATGTCAGTTGGTTGCATGAGAGGGAATTAATGTTCCAGTTGTAGATGCTGGAGAAAGGTGTGGGTTTTGGTTTTTGTTTTGTTTTGGTTTTTTCCCTCCTTTCTCAGAAGGTTCTAGAATGAAATCTTTTGCATTGAGATGAAGTCTATTTTTCGGTCTGATTGCACGTTCTGTGAAATCCGTGATCCACACTCATGATGAATGGCAGAGTTGTGGTTGGATAGTCTCTTAGCCATGATAGTCGTTATTGTGGAGACACTTTTAGAGATGATGCTCAGAACCGCAGCAGGTGCTGGCAGCCTCTGTCTTTGTCAGTGTAAGTAAAAATGAATGCTCTTAGCAAGAAACTTCTTGCAAACCTGTTTTAGTCCTCAGCAATGAGGTGCAGATGTCACTGCTTCAGGATTTACTCTTTTTTAATCTATTAACTCTTCCCAAAGTCTCCCTTTCCCCACTCCCCCCAAAAAAGGAGAGTGATGGTACAGGCAATGCTGTCATCGCTGGGGTTTCACAAGGCTGTTACTACCAGGCCATTGCAATAACTTGTTATAAACTGTAATGTGACTGACTCAATTAATATCAAATGGCCAGGCAGTGGTACTGGACCCTTGATTTGCATGCATCATTTTCTTTGCACTCCCCTAAGGTCGTAGGGCTCACCCAACCACTGATGACAGGTTTACTGAAGTGAAGCACAGGTAGTACATGGTGCTGAAGATCCTGTCAAGGTACAGAAAATAATTTGCGTGTGCATGTGTGGTTGTTTGCCTTGAACAGCTAGCAATAAGCATGTCCTCATTTTACAGATTCTAAAGATCAATAATTGGACTTGGTCCTTCCATTTGGAGAAGCAAAACTGCAGACATAATTAGGCAGCAATTCTTCTCCGAATATCTGGCAAAATGTAGGAGTGCACCTGCCATTTGCGTAGCTGGATCTCAGGAGGAGGTTTGTGTGAAGGCAGGCAGGGCTGAGGTTTGCTGAGGAGTAGGAGAAGAACCTAGAACCAGTGGTGTAGTACAGCCCTTAACATGGTGTAATGTTCTTCAGGGTACAGCTGGTGAGATCAGACTGGCTGGGGCTAAAAAAAGACAGGTGAGAGTCAGTGAGGGCATGACAGACCCTCGCACTGAGGCATTGGTTGCTCAAACACACGCTGGTGCGTTGCCGTTTGGTGTTGTAATGCTGGTGAGGTTGTGATACTTTCATCAGTACATTGAAATTGCAAATGGCTTTGTCTCTCTTCTTGTCCGATTTCTCGTTATAATTTTATAGTAGTTCTTGTGTAATAAGATAATGGTGTAATTTCTGGAGATGTGATGAGGATTCAGTGTATCAGATTGCCTGATTCTGTCCTGACAACCAACCTGATGAGTTCATAACTTTCAGGAAAATGATCTATCCCAGCATATCCCTGCTGATGATCAGAGTGGCTCTCTGGGCTACCCAGACCTTAGACCCGTGCCTTTTTAAAGATACTTGTAGACATCTGCAGTGGGAAGCAAATGGTGAAGGAAGAAATGGGACCCTCAGGCTGTGACTCCCCATGGCCGTAGTGGCATACGGCAGCAACTAAAGCTTTTCTCTTACCTTCAGGAGTATTTTTGGCACCCGTGTTTGATAACAGAGCCTGATTGGCCGTAGTGGCATACGGCAGCAACTAAAGCCTTTCTCTTACCTTCAGGAGTATTAAGTGTTAAGTGCAGCTTAAGTGTAGCAGTTAAGCTTAGACTGCCCATGATGTCGAGCACAGCTGTAGATGAAGCACATCAGCCTATGACTACTACCTGAGAATCCCATTGAAATGCTGAGTCCCGGAGGACCTGTGATTGCACGCTCTCTGGCAAAAGAATCCCTAATTCTTGTAAATGCCTGGTGTCTTCTCCAGGTCATGCGCTGCGTAACTGGAAGAGTCATATGTACTTTCTTAGGCTGTATCTCTTTTCCCTTCATCCAATTCCACATCTCAGGGAAACCGTTGGGCTTTAGAAGCTGGATTTAATCATTTAGGGCTGAGTGTCGGATCACAGACAGCCCAGCTCAGTATCTCTCATCTCTAGCTCATTCATCCTTATGATCTTATCAAGACCATTCATCATTGCAGTCTCAACCAGGATAGGTGAGATCCTGAATGCAAATTTAGTGAATGGGCAAGTATTCAGCACTCGTCTGTACAATGGTGAGAGACACAGTGAACAGATACCTGTTGTATTAATCCCCAGGAGCAGCACTGGTCTGGCATGGTAACCTGCAAAAATGCTCCACAAGAGCTTGTGGAAAAGCAGAACAAACCTGTTGGTCTGAATCTGATGGACCAGAGCAAACTCGAGCGCTAGCCAGTTGGAAGCATGACTCCTCAGCTGGAACATACTGGGAACACTGGATCTGTGTATATTTGTGTGAGAAATTGAAAGATCTGTTAGGGAGAAAAGACCCTACTATGAACTCAGGTGTTGCTGGACCATGGCAACGCAACTGTGCAACTAGATGCTTCTGAAAGCCCAAACCATGGAAGCTACTGGCAGACATGGAATTCACTCAGATAAAACACGAGTGTCATGAAGATTAACCAGTCCTAGATCAGGAAGAACGAAAGTGTTATCTTTATGGGTGCTGACGTCTCTCAGTAATATTAGTCTTAATGGCATCTGGTACTGTAGCTGATAGAACTTAGATTTTTGATAAGCACCATGGCAAACTGTGCCCTGCGGGATTCCTGGGTTCATTTAATCATGCAGCTTGTGCGGAAGGATGCTTCCACAAGAAAGCAGATCTCAGCTCAGGCACTTTATGGCGCGTAGGCTTCCCACTTCCCTGCCCGTAAAACTGCGGTGAGCAAGCAACAAGTGCATCGAGTTGATTGGGATCACATCAGCCAGTCTGAAGGCAAACAAGATTGAATAACTCCTGCATAGCTGCGTAAGCGGATGGTGTTGGCTATACGCAATGGATGAAGTCAGGTTGTGTCTCTAAGGAGGATTGACCCAAAGGACCATCATCATCCTGTGAAGCACCAGCCAGAAACTCACGTCTGCTCCACGCCTCCAGCTTCTCCCAGACCCTCCCTGCTGGGCTCAGGCGAAGCGAGAGCTCAGCACGCAGAGGTGTGGAGCCTGCTCTGCCATCAGGAGTGTTTTCCCTTGGAAAGCTGTTCTTCTGTGGGTATGAAGCTGGGTTTTCCTGGTTTTCGTGGATTGCTTCTTCAAAGGTGGCCTTGGTAGCAAGCAGATACTTGAACTCTGACCTTTTTTGGCGTTCCGTATGTACAAACAGATCCAGGCCTGTGCGTTGTGACAGCTGTTACAGACTGCTGGGTTTGAGGGGCTTGAAGTTCAGGCTGAGTATTGCCTGCCCTGGTTCTAGCAGAGCAATTTGAGAAACAATGACCCTTTCGTATCTTGCTGGAGAAGCTCAGTAAGGTTAGAAACTTTTTTTGGCAAGTAAATGTGAAGCTGACCTGAATCATCAGAAAGTGTTTTAGAAACCTTCCTGAAAACCTTTCTCTTCCCTTTCAAAACAAAGGCCCTACTGACATAAAACCACTGATAAATATAGCTGCTATTATTTGCAAGCTATTGTAAAGTAATACAACATTAGTGTGACATCATGAGACTCTGCAGCCAGATCCTCATCCCCTAATACACATAAGAGAACAGTTGTTCATTGCAGATGGGGAGGGTGACTGGTTCCAGTTATGATATCACAGCGTGAAATGTACAACATTGTAAATAGGATTTTCATAGGCACAGATAACAGGGCCCATCTGCTTTCTAAGATAAACTTTGGGAGTTCCTTGCTTAAAGGAAAGACCCAAAGTATTTTAATGCTACTTGACGTAAGAATTCTAATGCTGATCGCAACTAGGTAGTGCATATAAAATGCAGAGAAACCCTGCTGCACCGCAAACCTGGTAACACTTTGCTCCTCGGTGAGTTTGCCAGAGCTGAGCATCCATGTGCACGAAGCTGCTCTGGCGCCTTCTGGGCCGTGGACACAAAACTCGATTTTTCACGCGCATATTGGGCATTTGCACCTGACTGATTGACAGCTGTCCCAAACTATTCAAGGGGATTCTGCGGAGTAACGCAGGATATCCTCTCATCCGCTTTGTGGTGGTGGATAGATGCTGGTGTGGGAATCGTCTGACTTGCAAACGAGTTGTTGTTTCCTTTCTTTCTGTAGCAGCTTTGTGTGCTAACTGTGTTGATTTGATGGCTGATTTGGAGAAATAAGGGGGGAAAAAAAGACCATGGAGGGTTTTCAGTGGGTACTGGTGCTATTAGAGGCTGATGACAGCAAGTGAGCTCTTGCTTTGCTTAAGCATAAAGTATCCCCAGGGCTGCTCCGGGTGGATTGTCTTTGTTTTCGTGCTGTTGTCCTGGGTTGTGCCTGCCATGTGGCCAGTGCACTCGTTAATACTAGTTACATAAGGCATAAAATAAGACATCGCAGCAAAGTGTTCAGATGATAATGCCTAAAAAATATAGAATGTATGGTGCTCATACTTCCAAACTTAAGCAAATTAAAACAATGGAAAATCTTCATAAATCTGCAAATTCTTCTTCAAGGCAGCAAAACTTTCACATGTAATCAGCTTTATTTTCCTATCGTCTGAGTGTTTCCCAGAATACATAAAAAAATTATATGCCGCAGTAAGTTTTTAAGGAAGCAATTCCTGTGAGAGGTTCCTATGATTACTTAACACAGAAGTGCAAACAGATGGAATCCGTTCCTATAACAAATTGGCCAATGTTATTTTGAATACACGAGTGGAGAAAGTTTTAAAGTTTCAGCCCAAAGCAGAAAGCTGTCTGAAGGCAGGTACCTTCTGTATTTCCAAAAGCTGTCAGTTTTAACTGCAGTCACCCAAACCACAATTCCCAGGACCCTCTTGGGATGAGATTGGTGCTGTCGCATAGCCTGCAAGTCCTTGGTTGGCTCTTCCTTTCTCTGGGAAGGACCTGAGTGCAAGGAGCAGAACTGGTTGGTTTACTTTGGAGGGGTGATAGGAATTTGTTGCAGGTGACTTGTGCTTTGAGTTGGCAGGTAACGAAACAGAAATAGATAGACCGTGGGTTTCAAATGTATTTAAGATAGTTTGACTTTAAACTTGTTTAAACAGACTTTAATCCTCTAGACTTTAAATGTTTGGTTTTGGAAAATCCTTTTGATTCTTCTTTGGAAATGTTCTTTACCACAGAGTTGCTGCTACTGTCTGTTTGCAGCAACAACCTAAGCAGCCAGAGCACCGAAAGGCTGATACCTGCTGCTGTGCAAGCTCAGCATGGCAGGTTTTCTTTCCTCCTGTCCTCCAAAATAAGTAAAAGCAACACCCTGCTTTTCCAGAACAGCAAAACAAACTATTTTTATTGTCTGTTTGTTATTGAAGTTGGTGGATGCTCAGCAGAAAATGTGTGAAAGGAACGAGGGAGCTTGGATCTTCAGTTCACCCGGTAGCAGCAACAATTAATGCTTCAACATCTCTCCGATGACAGACTGCAGTAGATCAGCTTAAGCCTATCATGAAGCTGCCTTTTGGATTGAAATTGCTTGGATGCTGAGTTGTCAAGCCTTGAAATGTATAATGGAAATTTAGATGTATCTCTCATGTTTCACAGTGGATATATTACCCACAGCTCTCTAATTTAACTGGTGTTATATAAAATTAATAAGATTCAGGCATAATCTTTCTCCTCTTTTTTTTTTTTTAAAGGGACCCTTGAGAATAAATCCTAAGAAGTACCACGAAGCCTTCATTCCATCTCCAGTAAGTGTAATTTTATAATGCTTTAAAGTTCATAAGTAAAGGTGCATTAAGATAGAAGTTGTGCTGTGCACAGAAGGTCACTCAGAGGTGAACGAGGTGGAATAAATGAACATTATCTGGATTTTCTTTTAAATGAAATATTCCCAAACAAATCCTGCTTTTTCATACCTCAAAGTTACTTAGCTTGTGCTGAAAGTGGGGATACTGCTGGGTCCCACAGAAGCCAGCTGAAGTCAGGTTTGAGGACCACCAGATAGTGTAACTGGAAACCCTTGGTTTATAGCTGCAGAGTTTTTATAGATTTTCCACTGATTTAAGTTAATCTTCCCTAAACAAATATGCTCTCCATTTTCGATCTGCTGCATGAGCTAATTTGAAAAGTCATTCCAGAAATAATATGCATGATTCCTTTTCATGTGCCTGCTTTTGCACAGGCTGTATCTTGGTTGACTTGGGATGTGCTTCTGTCACATGGGGCTGGCTTGCACTTCTCTCTTCTTCCCTTATTTTGAGAGAAAAGAAGGGCTCTTGCAATTTCAGGGACTTCCAGGAGGGAAGGTGACCTCACAGCTGGCACAACTGAGGTTTTTATCTGGAACTGACTTGCTCAAAATGTTACCGTCAATGAGAGAGAGTTTCACACTGAAATGTTTTGTTGCTGTGGGAGAGAGAAAGCAGAGCCTGCCCTGAGACAGTGAAACACTGATGCTGCGGTTGTCCCCGCTACTGACAGCGCTATTGTTTTGAGGCTTGGATTGAAAACCTTGAATTTTGTGGCCTTGCCAGTTCACGTTGTTGATTTGGGATAATATTTTGGAGCCCACTTTGTAAGAAAAGGCTGGCATTACAGGGATGGAGGAAGGTTAGGGGTGCACAAAGCAGATAAAGATTAACTAGAGGAAGAAGCACGGAGCAGCTCTCTGGTACATCGGTAGAGCAGCACTGTGTGTGTAAGAGAAAGGAACTGTGATCTGTCCTTTACAGGTGTCCTTGTGGGTGTGGTGAGTCTAAGCTGTTAAACGTGTTCTCTGAAATTACAAAATGCGCGGCTAAATGAGAAATCGAGCTACTCGCGTAAGTTTAATGGGGTGCGAAGCTTTACCCCTGCTCGTGCCCAGTGTCTAGCTGGTGCCTTGTGCAGTCATTGCCGTTCTACCTGTGGGAGTACATATGTTAAGGAGGGTTAGCCATGGTTCTTACCTCAGCTGTCTTTCTACTTTTCTGCCCTTTGTGGAGCTGAACCAGCCTTGTCCCTGATAACAAACAGAGTCAACAACACCTGGATGAAGATGAATGGCGGGTGTGAACACAGTCCTCTCCTTTAAGACAGATGCTTTAGGAAGTTTATCCTTCATATAACATTATTTGCTGTAATAGAGGGTTTGCAGCCTTCATGTTCTGCAAGACTTCCCATCGTTCCAGAAGATGCTGCAAAAGCTGCAGCTGTGAAAAATCATCTTTTCTCTCCTGCTGTTGACTAGGGCACTGTACCCCTTTCTCTCCAGCTCTGACTTGGCTATCGCTTCCTGGAACTCAGATGCCACAGCTGTTCACCTTCTAACACCAGAAGTCCCAGGGTGTTCCTTGCTGCAGATGTGCTGTGTCTGCCTGTCTCATTGTTGCATGAAGAGCTGAGGGGAAGGCCCAGAACCTTTCTCCTGAAAGCTATCCAGAGAACGGACCTGAGCATTTACCTCTGCCTTGCATCTCGTGTCTTCCCTGCATGCAGCAGCATGGTTTGAAATGACGGCGTTGTTAATGTGAAGAACGATACTTCTGAGCATGCACGATGGAGTGACTGTGACTGTGCTGTGCTGGTGGAAGACACTTGCAGAGGAGGCATAAGTGCTGCAGATCTCTCTCTTGTCAGAGGGAGGTGGAGAGCACTGCTGGGGATATTCACAGGTGGCTGTGGAGCGGTAAAAGCCCCGTGCTCCCCGGTGGGAGAAGTCGTGAAGCCATTGCAGCCAATACAGTGTGTGAACCCCGGGGGTGGCTGAGGCTTCACAAGTAATTGTGCTCTGTTATGATTCGGTACCATTTTAATTGCATTAGTAATCTGAAGGGCCAGCTGTGCATCCCACTTTTTTCCTTTAGTGTCCACTGCTCCGCGTTTTCTTATTTCTTGGAAGTGCGTAAGTTTGCGCAACAGCCATGATCCTGGAGCTCAAGATACAGAAATGTTTCTTTTTGGAGGTAAACCCAAAACTGGCAGCAATTCCCTAATTACAACTTTGTTTCAGGCATTGAAATTAACTGCTGTAAAGTAGGTGTGAATATACATGTATAACTCTGTGTATGTGTTTATATATATATAAGGATATATTGTTTGGGATGAGAGTGACTGACTGCAATTCAAGGCACAAGACTCTTGCAGCACATGGAAGTGCAGCTTTAACTAAGTGGGGTAACACATCAGGCACCTTTACAGGGGTAGGGGAGAAGGTCTGCCTCGTGTTTTCTTGGGACGCAGGAAAAAAGGGGGAAACATGTAGAACAAACAAATTATTGTTCTGCAGAGCAGCTCCAAGTACAGACAAAAAAAAAGACAGACATTTTCCTTAAACAGTGTTTTTTAATTTTTATTTATGTGGCTGATTTGCGTAAAGAGTTGGGGGAGAAGGGAGAGGGTGGCGAGAAATGGGCAATAAGACCATGTGTAAAAAATCTGGCTTTTCAAAAAGAACGGTTTCCAATTTGAATTATGTTGGTCCAAGAGGCTTTGCAATTTTTCTGCATCTTGTCATGGGAGGCAGCTTTCGCACAGCTGTTGAGCTGCTGCTGCTTTTCTTTCTAAGAGTAACTTAGTCTCTTGGAGGACAGCCTTAGTTTCACATCGTGGCAGGCTTCTACCATTTTATTGTTTTGGTATCTAAGCAGAGTAAAGTATTTATTTGATATCAGGGCTTCATTTTTTCAGGTAATAAAAGAGGTTTTTCTTGGAGACTGAGCACACTGGTAGTTCTGATTGGATTTACTCAAGCATATGAGACTCAGGAATGTGTATATGAGAAAGGACTAAAGTTGTTACTAAGACTTTAATTCTTGTCAGGCTGTGGTTTTTTTTCATTGAAAGACAATGAAGTACTAATCTAAAGGAACTCATCCTCTTTTTTTGTGCCTCAAAACTATGCAAAGGTAGCTCTCTAGAAAAACTCTGTTGACTGCTCATGTTGATACTAAATGCTCACATGATTTGACACGTTCATGGCACTGTAAACAGACACAGGGAATTTTTCATGCAGGGAATTATCGGGAAACAAATGAGAGCATTAAGAGCACTGTCAATAATTAGACAAAAAAAAATAGGGCAAAACTTGGTGATCCTTTGAAAACTAAAACCTTTGTGTTGTTATCTTCAGGAAACTTTGTCTTTATTCACTCCATGAAAGAAAAATCTTCCAACCCAAATCTAGATTAGCCAAATGCTGAACATGTCTGGGGTGGATAATCGTAGTGTGTACAATCAGTAGAGGGTCTTGTGCAAGGGTGTTAACCCAGAGTATTGAGAGAAGGTGTCCTAACATGTCTGTTACAGTAAAAGATCTTCTGGCTTGCAGTTGGCATCTGTAGTCGTAATTTTTTGGAATCTCTTCTAATGTGCATTGTGCCAAGTGCAGAATGTATGGTGTTAACTCGTTCCAAAAAAAAAAGAGAAAAGAAAAAAAAGTCTGCATCCCCAGCCACTCTCCGGGCCACCTTCAGAGACTGACCTGCTGGTCCCGGAGCTGCTTGTCCCTGCCTTCCTGTCTGAGCAGGACAGCAGCAGGCACAGGGCGCCTTGCAGAGACCGTCTTGTCAACGTCTTCTGGTAGTGCTTGAGTTAGAACTCAATGTGTGAAGAGCTATGGCTGCAGGAAACTCTCTACCCATTCTCAAAAGTAACTGGAGAAGAACTGAGCAGAGCTCGCAGGCAACGCTTCTGGAGGGCTTGGCTCTGCCTTGAATAGATAGTGTGGAACTGCTGTGTGGGCACATACACACAAAGGTGCTTATTTGCTGAAAGACACTGCCTGTTGAAGGGCATATGGTGAATCCATTTCATTTCTGTGCACAACTGCAGGATGTTTGTCTCGCCAGGGTGTGTGTCTTTCAATGACTGCTTTAAACCTCATAACAGCTGTAACTTAATATGTCTTGGTCTGTCATTTTATTTTTCTTCCTTTTTGACTAGGATGGGACTCGCGATATCTTTATTGATGGAGTGGTTGCTCGCAACAGAGCCCTGAATGGTGACATCGTGGTGGTGAAACTGCTTCCCAAGGAGCAATGGAAGGTCAGTTCGGTGTGGTTTTCTGTGATTTCACTGAGAGAGCTTATTCCTGTTTTCTTCACTAAGCTTAGGGCCTGAGATTGAAACTAGCTAATCTGATTTGTAGGAAATACCCTAAATTGCAGTTTATGCTGCTGTAGATGAAAACACTGTCCACTACAGTGTTTGGAAGAAGTGATATCTGTAGTGTTGAAACTTCACTCTTTGCATGGAATGACATTCTCTGTCACTGTATGGAGAAGTCTGATGACAAGGGTGGCTCAAAGCGTGGTTGTCAGAGGTGACTTTTGCTATCTGTAATTTAGCTGTCTTCGTGCTGTGACATGGGATAGCTCCTTGTAGGTATTTGCAATTGCTCATATATTTGACAAGTGCTGTTCACAAAGCTTTAGTAATGATTAACTTCTCTAATTTGTGGATCCTCAGTCCATGGAAAGCTTATCTTGTCACAGCTCCAGAATTTGTGGTAATACCCTTCTTTACATGAATGAGGAGTGTGTGAAATGATTGGAGCAATGTAAATGTGGGGCAATCCATTTTTCATTTTCATGTCTGAGAATTTCAGTAAGATCAGTCTCTAGGTTGTTTTTTTCTTTCACTGATAAAACTTGGAGTCTTTTCAAACATCTGGATAGTTTTATCTTGCTTGCAGGTTTATCTTTTAACACCGTTATGCAAAGGAAGTTGTTATTCCTTTTCTCTAGTTGCTGGGAGATATAAACTACAGTTAACAGTTTTAACATGGGTTTTCACACGTAAGCATGACAGAACTGCCACAAATTGTTTTCAGAAAATGATTTCTGAACTCTTCTTGAGAATTTAAAGACTATTGCCTGTCTCTTGGACAAAAGTGATAATGAGGGTCATTCCAGCAGGGTAGATACTGGCCTGAATTACTTTGACCTGGTGCTTTTTGCTTGTTCTAGCTACCTTCTCTGCCTGTCTTTGTTTGAAGTTACGTGTTTTTAGGCTACCAAATGCAAGGTCTTCAGTCTGGGTGTTTGCTGAATGTTCTACCTTCTCTGTTTAAATCTAATAGTAACAGAGATAATGGTTTGAAACATATTGGAACTTGTGTATTCTTTTAAGTATGCATAATATGAGTAAATGACATTAGTATTTATTGACACATGTAAATACAAAACTACCTTATGCAAAAGGCAGTCATAAGTGGGATCGAAAATATTACAGGTATATACATACACAAATGTAGGAAAGAGTCTGCTGCTCTCGATGTAATCTGTAAAAACTCTTTTTTTTGATAACTATTCAGGAGTCTAAATTGAGAGTTCACTAAAACTGTGATGATTACTATATGTTTAGATCACCAACTCTATATACATAAATTATCTTTTGTATTAGACCGTTTCATATAGCTGGAAAAAACGGGATACTCTGGATGCTTAGATCCTTTGCCAGGACCTGCCAGCACAAGAGCTTCTTTGTAGACTCGATAGAGGTTGCCTGAGCTGGAAGCTCTGTCTACAGTTTTCCATTTATATCTGGTTCTAAACAAAGATAACGCCTCTCTCTTACATCCTCATATCTTCATGTGTTCAACAGTAATGTTCTTTTATGAATGCAAGAGGAATTCAGACTATTCTCCCTATCCTGGGCAAATGCTGGCATTACTAGAACTGGTGGAGAAGTGGTGTCTGACTGCAAGGAGGCAATTCGGAAGACTTCAGTGTTTTGTAGTATGATTAGAATTCTTCCATGGTGAATTTAACCTTGCCAAATGAAGTAGCTGGAACATGCCAGTCATGTTTTTCAGACACGCAGGTGCTGCCCTGTGTAGTATCATTTTTTTTGTTTCTTGCCATCAGCAACTTAATCAGCGATGACATCCCTTTTTCCCTGCTCCCTGAATCTCTTGCTATGCACTCGTGTTTGTATTAGTTCTTTGGGAAAGGTGCCACTAAGTTGCACTAAAAGATGCTGCATTCTGCCAAGTAATTCCTACTGATTAATGATAAACTGCCGCAACCTATTTTAGGTTTTTCCATTTGTTTAGTCTCATGCTGCTCCAAAGCTGCCACACAGGTGTCTTGAGGGTTTTCTCCTTCCCATTGGGCCTTTGGAACAAGCTGAACAGTTTCAGTTATTTCCTTAAAAAATGTAAATCAGATGTATGATATGACTGATGCTCTCAGAGGAGGTTTTACAGGCTCTGTACATACTGGTTTGTTAGAATTGAGAGGTGCATGCTGAACATTTTTATGGTTCGCTATTCTCAACCCATTAGTTTGTGCTCTGCTGAGAACCTGACTGGGGTTTTTTTGCTGGTAAACAAGGTGAGGTTGCCTGTTACAGCCTTCTGAGTCTCAAGCACCCTGGATGGCCTCTGGATGCTCTGGGGGAAGATCCTCCCGTTGGTAGCGCAGGTGATTCCTGCCATGGACCTCTTTGTGCAAGGTCACAGTGGGATGCTGCGTCGCAGTAATGGCAGGACATGACTTAGCTGGAACCTTGGTTCAGTTTGTGTGTGTAAACGAGAGGAAACAGGAAAACCTGTGACTGGCAAAAGTATGGATTATGGAAAAGAAAGTCTGTGTGTTTGCTTAAAGAGCTGAGAAAGTTAGCAGCTGCCTGGTACCCGTTGGGTCAGTGTCTGTGGGTCAAGTTGCTGTGGGAGAAAAAAAGACTGTCTGGGCAGCAGTTTCTCCAGGGATACTCTGTTCTGCTGAGCCTGTACTGGGAACATCTTCCCCGCAGTTATAAATGCCACAGCGAAATAGGAAGGGATGGTGAAACACTCTAGATGTGTGGTTGTAATTTATGTAATACCTTCTGGAGAGGGACAGCAGTATTTTCTTCTTGCAGCCCTCTGCTTCCTGGCTCAGTGGTGGGAAATTTATCAGGCTTGAATTTCTCAACATCGTGTCCTTCCCAGCATGTGCATCAAGTGCTTGGATGAGCTACCATGGTCCTCCCTGTGCTTATTTTGTCTGGTCTTTTAAAGCTCCATTTGTTCATACGTCCTCTGGGAGAGCTGCTTGCTGCTCAGCGATGATCAGTTTGTCAGTTCATATTTTTGTGCTTACTATTAGTTCTGATCAAGAGCCAACAATTCCAGTGTGGCACCACTGGCTTGAGGGAGAGACATTTTGTCCCCGGAATTTGTTATCTTGCGCTCCTGAAGAAGGTGGCCGCCGGCTCCCTGCCAGGGTCGAGTGGCGCACGGCGCGGTGACCGCATTTGGAGGCTCTGTTTCAGAAGTTCTTCTCCTGTCCTCTTGTGTTACATCTTGGGAATATTGAAGTGCTATGGTAACTTTCAAATATTTAGCTTTTGCAAAGTAAGGTATTTGACTTAGACTGTTTTTCCAGGTACTTAACCTACTCTTAGCGAATGAAGTCAGAGTATCGTTGCAATTAGCTGGACTGTCCCTTTCTTTATTGAAGCTCTAGGGCTCCCCTAGAGCCTTATCTTCTGAAAGAGCGTCACGATGAAAGATAGCCAGTGACCGAGGATTTACCTCGGTCTTTGCCAGTTATTCTGATAAAGACGAAAAGTGGTGCTTTATTTCTTGACTGATTTTCACTATATCTTCCACCTGTGGGTTCTTATTATATTTTATAGAGCTGTGCTGCTTACATCAATTTCAGGAGCTTCAATTATACAGTGGTGTAATTACTGGAAGGCAAAAAAAATGTTGATGTAATGATTACAGCAGTATTTCTCAGGCTCATCAAGTAGGGAAGCAGCATGTCAGTATAAAGGATAAACCTAACCCATCTTTCCTCAAAGCCTCTTTTTACCCTTTTACCATTTGCTTAATTGCCAGACAGAATTTGTTTGATTTCAGATATCTGTTTTGTTTTTTTTCTTGCAAGAGGTAATTTCTTTGGTGGAAGGAAATAGCATAATAAGTCATTTGATATCACTCGGGGCTTGGATTCCTGGCCCAATCTCTGGTGCTTTTACAGTAGTAGTTTATAACATGGAATGTTTTTCATGACAACCGTCTCACGCATTGCATGCAATGGCTGAAATTTTAAAGTCTTAGTCTGAAAATAGTACCCAGAGGAGGACTTCCTGCTGTGCAAAACAGCCTGCAAGGAATTTCAGGGTGCAACCCCGTGTTACTTGCTGCAATAGGCACAAGAGATCTCCAGCTCTGCATATATATATCTAAAATAATGACAACATATCCTATATACGTGCCTAAAATAAAGACAGATTATCCTGCTAGTTTCTGAGAAATCAGTGCCTGCAAGTGGTATCTTTTGTTGTTGTTTCATGAATCATTTCTTCTTCAGCTTAGATCCATCCTCTGCGCTATTTCCAGTTCTTTTGATGTTGTCAGAAGGTCTTCAAGGCCAAGGATGTAGAACTGTTCATTCACATACAGTGCGTGTTGCTGGATAATGGAATAATGGGTCCAACATTTTAGTCATGAGGTGTTTGAAAGTGATAGAAATAGTAATTCTTTATAGCTCATGAAAACGTGTGCTCTGTTCAACGCTGAGGTGTCGGATGCAATACAGCACAGCCTCTTCCAGAGCCAGGCATCAGAGGTAAATATTTAAACGCTTTCTGTACAGAAGACATAAGCTCCAATTCACTTTTCCCAGCTGTGACTAAGACTGGCATAATTACGAACAAATGTGGAGAAGGAACGGTTCGATCTAAGCAGACATCGCAAATACCACCATTTACAATTTGAGCAGAGCTAGGTATCCTGGCGAGTCACTGCCTCCAACTGCTGGAGAAAACCTATGAACCATTAGTTGTCCAGAGGGGATGCTAGCTTTGGATTTGCCCTGGTGAATAATGAATCATTTCACCCAAGTTCTTCTGAGAGTCAGTTTCTTCTCAAAATCACTAAGCTAATGTAAGGATAACAGTAACTCAGGAGGAGATGGGGTTCTTAGAGGGTTATCACAGCAATACTGCTTGAGTCTAACCATCAAAAATGTTGTTTGGAGCCATTACATTAATAATAATAATAATAAAAGTTCTGGAGAAGTCATTATTGAAATAGTAAGTGTCCTGGCACG